ATTAGTTTTGTCCTCCAAAAAAATTAGTAATATATTGATGTAAAAAATTCAAATGTATATTTTAATTTTGAAATACAATGTGACGATCGATTAATGTAGTGCTCATACACATACACATTTTTGTAAACATACTATAAATCAACCTTATGTTTGTAGCTTACTTGTCCAATAAAATTTCTTCACAAGAAGGTTTTGTATAATTTAGTATAGTTCAATTGTACACCATGAACATGTATCCCTATTTTGTATTAATAATCACGCAAGATACAATTAAAAGTTATAAGTTGGATTGTACTTTGATAATTACTATAGCTTTATTCCAATATAAAAATGGCCTTGTATTGTTCAAAAAAAAAATGGCGTTGTAGATTATTTCAATTAGAATCGTTCAACTTACACTAGGCTGTCACAAATTCGTATATATAATAGCTTTGATGAATTAATCATGGGTAAATAACACAAAAAAACATTTTTTTTATACAAAAATTCGATTTTGACACCGTGTATTTTTTTGTGTCAATTTTGACACTGTGTTTTCCAATTTGTTACAATTCTGACCATTTGATCGGTTAACCAGGTTACATGTTGACGTGACATGATGGCGTGTCAGTTTTGATTACGTGGCATGCTGACATAATATGCTGACGTGTCAAAATTGATTTTTTTTCCACAAAAAACACTAAGTTTTCATTTTTTTTTTTTCAATTTTGACACTATGTTTAATTTTTTATTTCAACTTTGATACTATGTTTTTTTTGTTCCAATCGAACATCATTTATCAAATTTTGTTCAATTTTGTCTATTTTCCATTTGAAACTGTATAAATATATATTTTTATTACATTTTAAACCGTATAAACATTTTTTTTTTTCGTTTAAAAACCACATTTTTATTTAAATACAAGGTGTTTTTTTTTATATTCAAAGCATTAGTTATATCAGGAGAATCAAACTAACCATAAGCTTCTAATAAGATGTAAATGTTCGATGGGTTGAAAACTTGATATCCGAGTTTTGATCGACTACACGCCTCCAAACCTTCAAACACATTTTAAAGTTGTATATTTAATATAAAATACAATATTTATATAACTGATACATATTTATATATAAAAATATGGTTTGAGTGTAAAAAAAAAATAATAATAAAAATATGTATTTATACAAAACTATGGTTTTTAAATGAAAAAAAAACATATTTATACGGTTTAAATGTATTAAAAAAATATTTATACGGTTTCAAATAGAAAATTGTCAACATTGAATAAAATTGGAAAAAATAATGTTCGATTTGGAACAAAAAAACATAGTGTCAAAGTTGAAAGAAAAAATTAAATTAAGTGTCAAAATCGAAAAAAAAAAATAAAAACTTAGTTTTTTTGTGAGAAAAAAAATTCAATTTTGACACGTCAGCATATCATGTCAGCATGCCACATCATCAAAACTGACACGTAATAATGTCACGTCAGCATGTAACATGGTTAACCGGTCAAGTGGTCAGAATTGTAACAAATTGAAAAACACAGTATCAAAATTGATAAAAAAAAAACACGGTATCAAAATCGAATTTCTGTATAAAAAAAATGTTTCTTTATACCATTTACTCATTAATTATGTGATATATAGAGACAATAAACAGAATATTATTACTAGAAAACACGACATTATACTTTACAATAACGAATGTCTGTGAACAATCTAGTAAAAATATATATGTGAATGTAAAAAAGTTAATCCTGTCAGATACTTTTTTTTTTTTTTTTTATTATTCTCTCATACCACTTATTTCCATAAGCTATTTATGTCTTTAAGACATCATGTTTTATTCGTAACCTAAATCAAGGTATAATTGGTAAAACAGTAAAAGCAAAGCTGCAAAAGGATTGTTTGTTTGGAATATATAAAAGCAAAATGGAAAGAATAGAAAAGGCATGATATGTAATATTGTAATCATATCATGTAATGAAGAGAAAGTGTGCAAGAAACATGATCCATCATGCTTGCTTGCTTTTTTTTTTTTTACTTTTCTTGGAAGACAATTATGGACACCATGTTTTTTTTCTCACCTTTTGTAGTGGAATCTGAAATTGCTTTGTTTTTGGAAGGACGGTTTTTTCTTCATTACATAAAACACCCACTTCCTCAATTATGCACATGAACCACACAAGCCTCGATTCGAATGCATATTCAAGGGCAATTATAGTATTCTACATCTCCCCTTTTTCGGTGAATGTTGATTTTGCTAGCCGGAATTGTAGTTATCTAGTAGTTGAATGGGTCGAATGAATTATCTCTTAGCCTTAATTAACCAACACCACAACCACCACGACTACCAACAACAAGAAGCTCAAGAATCCCATTTATATGGGATATAAAGGAGGTAGAATGTTGACAATTTGTCTTGAAAAACAACTGTCACATAGATTTGAAAAACACTTGTGTTACATAGATGAAATCTTATAGAAATCAAAGTTTTTTAACTTACAATATAAAGATCGTAAAAAGAATTTGTTTGAATATGATTTGACTTTCAAACTATCATGGGTTGGGATGTGTTATCATTACAAGGAGTTATCATAAGCTGCAAAAATACAATACTTTCTAAAACATAAATGACATTGGATAAGAAATGTGAAGTTAGTGAAGTGTTTTTGTGTTCATTTATATTTACATAATTTGTTTAAATCCTTAATTTGTCAAACCAATATATTTTCTTTTGTCATTTTGGCATAAACCATGATTAATTCCCAAGAAAGAGCAAGTACAACTAACAGCCTTATTTAACCATTTTGTTTGTATTTTTATTATTGATAAATAAAACAAAAGTCACTACGTTTATACGAAAATTCAATTTTGATATTGTGTAATTATTTGTTTCAAATTGGACACTTCGTTTCTAATTTGTTATTATTCTGACCCCTTGACCAGTCAACTCATCTATGTGACGACGTGTCAAAATTGAAGAAAAAAATGCACAAAAGACATTAAGTTTTCACTTTTTTCAATTTTGACACTAGGTTTCTTTTTTCACTTTCGACACTATTTTTTTATTCCAAGTCGAACCTCATTTTTTTAAAAATTTTGTTCGGTATTAACTATTTTCCATTTGAAATCATATAAATCATTTTTTTATATTTTAAACCGTATAAATACATTTTGTTTTCATTTAAAAGCCATATTTTTTGTATAAATACAAGATTTTTGACATTCAAACTATATATAAATATGTATTAATTATATTATAACTGTATTTTTCATTAAATACACGACTTTAAAATGGATTTAAAGGTGTGAATTGCACAGTCAAATAAGCTAATGTGATCTCGGGAACATGAATGTCCGGGGGTCGCTTTAATTACAAAAAAACCGTTTGTTATATATATTCATGATTTCTGGTTCTTATAGATATACTTCTTAATTTGTTGGAAAAAAATTATAACATCCTAATAGTACATAAAAAAAATATGGCTATAATATAATTAATATATATTTAGTTTGTTATCTATAAAGTTAGTGTGTCTTGATTGGATTTACTTCTCTATTCTCTCAACTAGGTATTATAAGTATTATACCACATCTATTATGTATTTATATAAAATTACCATGTTTCCAATGTAGGACGTTTATTATTTAGTGAAACTTTTATTTTTCATTTATCTTCTTACATATACTTCTTTGATTTTCATTATACTCATTCTAAATTTATTTCCTTTAGTCAATAACTATAAAAGAATATGGTCCAACATAAATTTAACTAAGGAATTAATTTTACATTTCTTGACCAATTTGCTCTAAGTTCAATTTTTGCCTCAAGTTCAATTTTATTTTATTTAATTATTCTAACATACTAAATTTTGAATTTTGAATGTAAAAACATTGTATTTAAACAAAACAATATTGTTTTTAAATGAAAAAAATTATTTAATTTAAATGTAACAAAAAATGATGACCAATTTGGAATTATTTTTTTTTGAAATGTCAAGTCGTCAAAGACTAAACAAAATTGGGAAAAAAAATGATGTTCAAATTTGAACAAAAAAATTGAATGTCAAAATTGGAAAGAAAAAAAAAATGAAAACGTAATGTCAAAATTGAAATTTTGAAAATTTAATGTTTTTTGTAACATTTTTTTTATTGTGACACATAAATATATTATGTCAACATGTCACGTGATCAAAATTGACACATCAGCAGGCAATTGGGTTTACCGATCAAATGTTCAAATTGTAACGAATTGGAAATGTAGAGGGTGTTTGGCTTTGCTTTTAAAATGACTTTTGAGACTTTTGGCTTTTCCAAAAAGTCAAAAGTTTTAAAAGTTGTTTGGTAATTGAAAAAGATCTTTTAAAATAGCTTTTTGAGAAGAAGGAAAAGGAGGGTTTTAAAAAGTCACGTATGTGTGACTTTTTTCAACTTTTGCATTTTAAAACCATCTTTTGGAAAAAGATATGAATCAAAAAGTTCTTTTCTAAAAAGGACTTTTTGCTTTGAAAAGCTATCCCAAACACCCCCGTAGTGTCCAATTTGAAACAAAAATAACACAATATCAAATTTGAATTTACGTATAAACTTAATAATGACTTTTTTGGCATTTGCCATTTTTATTATAAGTTGTTAAACACACTTACAAAAATAACTATGATTAAGTTAAAATATAATAACTTAAAAGTTAATGACGAAGAGTCTCGTGTTCTTTTATTTTAGAACAAGCAACTTAGAAGTGAGCTAAAACATGTGAAATTCGCACTTGTCTTTTTTTAGTGTTTAATTCCCAAGTGATCACCACTACACCTTGTGGTTTATTTCATCTAAACTCACTTATTCTCACAAAAGTTTATGTCTATTTCGAATTTTTGCAAGAATTAAAACTTGTTTATAACAAAATTCTAGTACAAAATAGTTTTAAAAAAAATACTCCTAACTCAAATGTCAAAAGGGAGTTCGTCTAAACTAAACCATTTATACGAGAACAGAATACCAAGACGAAACAAAAGAAAGAACATCTCTTACATGTATCAAAATTGAGAACAAAATTTAGTAACCAAATCCTTTAACATCTAGTATACACCTTTTATATTTATAAAAGATTATAACATTTAAAAACACTAATAATCATTCTACATTTTTGCAAAAAAAAAAATCCATTCAAAATACTAATCATCCCATTCCTTTCTCCTTCCATTAGACTTCGGGAATTTTGTATTCAATTGTTCCACTTTGATGGGATTTTGACCACCAGATTTGACCGGTTTTTTGTCACCCCAAGCATCATCATCCCAATCTTCATCCCAATTTCCTGTTCCATTTTCCTCCATGTCTAATGATGAAAGGGCTTTTGAATTTTCCATTTCAAGTTCATGGTATGGAACCCCATCATTATGCCTGCTGTTATGGATTCTTGATTTGACAAAAGTCAAAGTCCCTCCAATGATAAATATCAGAATTACAAAGTATGCCCCGTTGATTGGGGTTATGTAGATGCTATATGAGTAAGGGTATTTCTGGTAATTGGCTTCGGGTGGTGGAGCTGCAGCATGTATTACACAATCCCCTACACTTGTATTCAATGCTATTGCAGCATTTGAATCAAATATATCTCGAGAAATCTTGATCTGACACAAGCAAAATGTAAAGTTAGGCAAGACAGTATATGACACGACAGGTTGTACTGTGTTGTGTTTGGTGTGTATTGGACTGAGACTATGACTAATGTCAATAGAACAAAAACTGTAGATTCTTGTTCCACCCAAAAAGGTGGGGCATGGACTCACTCTCGATCTCTAGTATATGTGTAAAAGACGTAAATGCCCTCGTCCGGTCATCAAAAATAGCACACTAGAAAGAAGAATACCCTGTTCATTTGGTGGATTGGTAAATCTATCTCATCAATCGTGTTGTTTGAAGGAAGGATCATAATTTTCACATGCAAAGGGTTTTTGTCATTGTTCTGTATATATAGCCATATTTCTTCATCAGGGCCTGCATGAAAAGAGTAGCTTAATCAATGAAACAAACTAGAAGCGGAATTAAACATTAATTATCCAAACAATATGCCTGTAGTACAGAAAATCACAAAGATGAAGGCTGAATCATTCACCTTACCATTGAAGCTATTATATCTTATGTTTTTATACACGTCTATGAAGAATCAAAAGCATCATCTAGTAAGATTGAAAAAGATGAAAAGATATTTACCACTTTGAGAATAAGTCAAGCAGGAAGCTATGTTCTTAAGCTGGCAGCTTCTAGATGCCCTGTTACAAGATTGCTGGAAATTTGATCCACCAGAAGCTAGGCCTACACCATTAGAAGGGCTAGGAGAAGGAGAAACCTGAAAGCCATAAAACCATTAGACTTATTGGAAACCATATTGAATACAAATAACAAATCAAATCATGGTTGAAGAATTAAATAATTATAAACCGCACACAAATTGAATTGAAATCCAAAAAACGTACGTTGCTTTGTTCATACAGGTGTCTGAAAGAATAGAGCGGGGATAACGCATACGATTGTCGGGGCAGAACGATCAAAACTACGATGATGAGCAGACCCCTAAGAATCATGTCGCGGCAACTAAGTTGACTTTATCTTTACTTTATTTCTGAATGAAGTTAGACTTGAATTATCATAAGCATTAAACCTTAATCTTCGTGACAACTGAATGGTCGATGATCCCTGTGATAAATGGGGTTTCTGAGAAAAAAATGGGGTAGAAATAAAAACGAAGGAGATAGATGGAAGACTTGTTGTCGACGGAGTAATAGAGAAAACGCGTCTGCGAATCAACATCTTCTTCGATTCAATTCCAAGGATACGACGACTGTTGAAAAGTCGTTTGTATTTGTAGTTTTGTAGTTTGCAGGATTTGGGATTTAGGATTTTGGATGTTTCGTAGCTGTAGAATGGAATCGCCAAGAATCTTTGTTGTTGATCAGATAAACATAACGATTTTGTTTGTAAAATAATGTATAGATTATCAAATTACCTTTCATTTGTTTTAACTGAGATTAATTTTTCAATGAAAAAATGTCTTAAGATAATCATAACTCTCACTAAAAAAGTTTATGAATTTGTGATTTTGTGATATTGTTTTTTCAATGGGTTTTGCCTTTTTTTTTCAATTTATTTCGTGAAATTTTCGTAAATTTCATGGTATTTTCTTTCTCTCCCTATTTTTTTTTCTTTTTTTATTTTGTTAAAAATATAACGAACATCATCCGTATCAACCATATAAACTATATTATATTTGTCCATTCGCTGTTTATTATATTTGTCCATTCGCCGTTTCAACCATGTAATAGCAATAAATCGATTTTATTTTCCTTTATATGATCCTATGTTCATTTGTTTTTACCAGGGGTATTCGCAGTGTGGTTTATCCTCAAAACTGCAAACAGCACCGTATATGCAGTTTGTTATTTTCGGGAACTGCAGACCGCACCACAAAAATAATAAACTGCATTATGTGGTGCGGTTTTGTGCGAGTGGTTTGCGGTTTATACGGTTTCATAAACATAACTATTAAATTTAGTTTTAAACAAAATATGTGTGTGGTGCTTTATATATTCTATGAATAAAAGTATTAATTGACTGTAAAACATCTTCTTTATGCATAACATTAAAATATTTTACAATATTTTAAAATTATAATATGAATTTATGGTACTGTAAACACATATTTCTGATATAGTTGGTTTCCCATTTTGACTCATGTTTATCAATCAACATCTAGCATGTTGTGTGTGTGTATACACACACACACACACACACACATATATATATATATATATATATATATATATATATATATATATATATATAGTATGTTGCAATGCGGTTTGAATCGCGGTTTGGTAACTATAAACAGCAAACCGTACTGCATAGCGCGGTTTATGAAAACTACATACCGCAAACTGCATCATGAGCGTCCAAAACCGCATTATGCAGTATGGTGTGGTGCGGTACGGACGGTTTATGCGGTTTGATGCACACCCCTAGTTTTTACAATTACAATATATCAAATTAAAGTAATGTTGTTTATACATAATTATTTATTCTTTTGTAGACAATGCATCACTATATTCATTTATTTGTTTATTGTAGTATCATATTTTTAAGAACGAAAACCAAAACTATATTTTGAATTAACTCATTCGGTCTCTTAACTTATTTGCGTGTTTTGTGAGGGAATAAAGTGGATTTTAACCTGCTTATTTGATCACTTAACCTACAATAACCAGTTTTATATGCCATGTAATCAATTGAATATGATGTGGATCCTGCTACAGTGACTAGACCAACCTGAAAACACCCTTCCTTGAAAAGTCATCAGACTGACACATATATATGGCATCTTTAACGCAAATTCTTGAAAAGTCACCATGAGTTCTATATTGCTTGTTATCATGCTTAGGAGAGTCTCCAACCATAAGCTGTCATGTACATGTTCTTTTCTTCATATCCGATGCTAGCGAGATTGGTAATAAGAACAACCCATACGAAATAGCTTACATCAAAGTCATCAGGTGGATCTAGCCCTGTTTCGGTATCCAATGACATATGTTCTGCCAAACATAAGGGTCCGAAGGAAACAAATGTTCCAATTAAACTCGATTGATGATGAAATGAAAGAAAATGGCAAGGTAAATGAAGAATTGATTGAAGCTTGAAGATGTAAGATATAAAGTAGTGATTATAGCAAATTTAACTCTTGTAGAGTTCGCCTAAAATGCCACCTCAAAGTCTTATCCTGAACAATCCATCCATACATGGATGGCCTTCCTACAATTCAAGCCCACCGGTGACAATGTCAGGAACAAAAACCACTGGATGCTTGCATTTCAAAAACTCCACCGCCTGTTACGACGTCAAAAGCTCAGCCATCGCCTACAATATCCCCAATCATAGTTCGTCCCTACAACATCCCAAAAATCATGATAAATTTCCATTTTTCAATTAAGTAAAATCGTTGTTTCCAATCAGAACTCAAGTCATAAACCAAGTATCGGATACAAATATCCCTGAATCAAAGTATCATAAGATCGCACAAACATATCACTAAAGGATGTGTGCGATGAATCCTTTGCCTTGCCTCAGTCATCAGAAGCACCTAAAACATAACACTTAAAATGTAAGCCAAAGCCTAGTGAGTTTTCCCAACATATCATCACACAACATATAACAACATGCATATTAGGTCCATAACCATTAGGTTAGAGTACCCTTGAGTCCACAACATAAGTTTGGCTTTGCCCACCAGGCCCACAACTCATGTATGTATTGCTCTTGAGCCCACAACATAAGTTTGGCTTGCCTTTTCGGCCCACAACTTATGTTTGACTTGTTCCCAGGTTTGTCGGCTTTTGCATAAAGCAATATTTCCTCAACCCAACCACACTATGTAGATATATGCAACAAATAACATATAACCAACAAACAGTTAATCATGCAGATCTAACAGGTCATTACAACATAGTAACATCCTATATACCAGGATACATAACTTAGTGGCCCAATGTTGGTGCCTTCGACCCACGAGTACAATAAGGAAAACTCACTAAAATTTGGCTTATAGTTTAAATGTTATGTTTCAGGTATTTCTGATGATCATGGTAAAACGAAGGCGTGATCATATACATCCTTCGATGATATGTTTTGGAGATCTTATGATACTTTGATTCTTGTATTTGATACTTGGTTTATGACTTGAGTTTTGATTAGAAACAATGATTTTACTTAATTGAAAAATGAAAAATTTTATCGTGATTTTTGAGATGTTACAAGTTGGTATTGGAGCCGTGGTTTGAGCGAATTAGATAAACATTCGTGTGAATCCAGACTCAAGCTATGGATCTGTAAAGTTTTCAAAAGTGATTTCAAAATTATTTTCATAATTCTTTTCAAAGGTAATCAAAGAAGGATAAGATGTGTATGATCATCCGGAGCAAGAAAGTACTCCCCCAGATAACCACACTGTTATTTTCTTATGATGATTATCAAGGTTGCAGAACTCCCTACTCGGTACCTGCTCGACCGACTACTGTGTAGCGAGTACTCGGATTCGGTAATTCGTGTAGAAATATTTTTAAGAAAATTTTATATGTCAAAATCATAAGCTAAAATCATAATTTGATTGAAATATATAACAAAATTAGATACATGTGAATGCATAAAACATGAAATACACACAATTGTATCTATTCGTAAATAATTACTGAAAAGTTAAGATATATATAGTAATAATCGCATGTCTGTGTTAAATAATAAATCATTAAGTGTATTATACATATTAATCTTGAAATTCTTGAATTTTTTTTTTAATTTTTTTATGACAATTTTGACACTTTGACCAAGTTTGACCGAGTTTGACCTGGTTGGCCGAGTTTGACTGAGTAGGCCCAAATAAGACCGAGTAGGCCCGAGTTGCAGAGATATTGACCAATTTTTTATCGAGTTTGATTGATTTTTGACCGAGTTTGACTTAATCCGAGTTTTTTTGCCGAGTTCATAAAACTTGCCTCGGTGAAGGGTCGATTCCGAGTACTCGGCCGAGTAGGCCGATTTTTACAACACTCATGATTATGATAGAACTTCATGCTAGGTGTAGGCTAGGGATCCTTAGGAATTGCATTACAAAATTATCTAATGTGTGATGTTTGATAGCCTAGGAGAATCCTTTGTATGCTAGATGGAGTTGATGTCATTATTGTAGTTGTTTAGTGTATACATCATATTTGTACATAACTAAGATGTCATAGCCTGAGAATGTTTGATTTAGCCTTATTTCCTGTTCCTTGTTTGGTTGTGGGATTAGAGTAGAATCAAGTATTCGATTGTCTATGGAATCCAACGTTATGTATGATTAGCATGCACGTGTAGCTGTAGAGTTAATGAAAGATTCATGAGTGAGTGTGGTTGAAGTATGCCAACTTGAGGAGCGATTAGCCACTCTTGAGAGCGTTAGTATAGGATGTATGCGTTTCCTAGTTATTGAGTTTATTTTTGGGTAGTTTGTGATGATCTATTGAGATAAATACGAGTAGGTGTGGAATGTAGTATGTGCCCGTACAACCGAAAGCACATGTCCCATACGTGTATCTAGGAAGTCACTGTGACATCCCCAAAATCACGGCCAGAAAAGACCGATTTTGTTTATGCTTTATAAAAATCAGAGTACTTCATTTTATAAAAAGGTTGCGGAATTTGTTCCCAGAAAAACATGGTAAATACGTTATTAAAACATTTTCGAAGAAACGTATTTATTTCATTTTAAAACATTTGGGATGTCATCGTTAATACAGGAACATAAGCATAAACAGAACTTACAATTATTCACACTAGTGGTCTACATCTCTTTAAATCTCTCAGTGTAATGTCACTTCATATCAACACCTGTGATATAAATAAACTGAGTGGGTCAGGTTGGGAAACCTGGTGAGCACATAGGGATTTCAATCCCACAATGTTATACCATATATATAGTTTAAAATTCACAAAATATACAATTTCACCATACATATATATATATATATATAAACAACTCTTATCCCACCCGTCGATCCTCGCAACGAGGCTATCCATATTCTCGGACCTAAGATTAGTCGTTTTACCTACTCCATACTCTCGGATCAGAAATGAACGAATTTACCAAATCCATACTCTCGGACTAGGGACGAATGACTAATCCATACTCTCGGATTAAAGATGAATGATTATGCCTAATCCATACTCTCGGACTAGGGACAATAGCTAATCCATACTCTCGGATTAACGACGAATGATTATGCCTA